GAAACCCGTTGCATTTTGCCTGCTATTCTGGATGGTGACGCAGTTCGTCTTGATGGGGGCACTAAGTGGTGCTCAGAGAAACTTGTGCAGGCCATACTTGTACCAATCGCAGCTTAACAAGACATTACATGTTTCGCTGAAGTACGTCCTGCTTGTAAACTAGTCAAGAGAACCAGTGAAATAGCGAATTTTTCTCCGCGACCCTCAGCCGAGCAGCATTTAAAAATCTCGAAAATCATTAATCATGTCTTCATTAAGATGCCTCGAATATGGATGGACTACTGTACAGTGATGACGAAGAGGCGGGTGATTACGGATTGCCGTCGGGTTTTTGATAGGTAAGTAATTGTCAGTTAGCAGCACGTGCCGCTTATCAGGCCCCACAGGACCCCTTGTGTTGTGACATATCGTTTTCAGGGCTCTGCGAGCATTACCAGTAACACAACACTTACGAATTTGGCCCCTCTATATCAAGTTTGTTACCAGTCATGACATTCCAGAGACATGCATTAGAGTTTACAGAAGGTGAGCTTGATCTATCTTCCTCTCCCTGGGGTGGGGCTTTATAAGTAATCTAATATTCTTCATCTTCTCAGGTATCTGAAATTAAATCCGCGCGGTCGGGAAGACTTTGTGGAGTATCTGATCAAGATTGATCAACTCGATGAAGCAGCTCGCCAGCTGGTTACCCTCGTAAATGAGGACATGCCCGTATCAGACAAGGGAAAGACGGTCCATCAGGTACAGCTGACATACTAGTTGAAGCCTCATATCCTTGAAATATTGAAAGGATGTTGTTTCAGCTCTGGGCAGAACTTTGCGAACTGATATCAAAAAATCCAAAGAAGGTCCACTCGTTAGATGTGAACGTGATTATGAGGCAGGGCATTCAGAAGTATTCCGATCAGGTTCGTGGTTGGTTTCACAGTCAGAAGTTTTTTTATTAGTTCAGCTATTCTTTGCTGAACAGTAGGTTGCGTGCATACTTGGCGTCAGCGTTCCCAGCGACTAGAAAAGTATAGATATCGACTTAGCAATACGTACGCCATCATTTCCCAGATCGCCCGCAAAAGGCTCAAAACTGCCCGAGAAGCGCTCAAAACGCTGACAGTCGGTCATAACGCTAGACCGCTAGTCGTTCAGCACCCCGACGCAGAGTATGAACGCACTGTAATGGCGACAAAACCGCTGACAAGGTTTATTTGACGAGATTGTTTCGTATATACCCGGTTCAGTCAAGAGCACCTTTTTATCAAGGTAGCTAAAGGTTTGCTCTTTCTTCTTAGGCTGTGTTCAACTTGAGCGATTCTCTCGGGCTATTTGTCTTTGATAAGTCACGCTCCATCGCTTAATTATTGGCTACTGCGAATCCAATCACATTCAGAATAGATTTGACTATTGCAGTGGTCGAAAGCACTGAATCGCTGTAGTGAGAGCCTAGCTTACCACAAGAATGCTTTCGCGCGCGTTCTCCAGCGCGAAATACGGTGTCTAACGCCAGTTTTCATAATAATCCCAGAGTCTTTCGTAGTTTTCCTGCGATTTTTCAATATGTAAATTACTCCTTGTTGTAGGTGGGCGTGCTTTGGTGTTCGTTTGCTGAATACTACATCCGAGCTGGACAGTTTGAAAGAGTGAGTGTGCACTTTTTTTCTCATCGCCCCTCTCATGAGAGGGTTTTATAGCGGGTTTCTCATATCCTCCCTCCCATTCAGGCAATAAAAAAACGGGATATCGTATGAAAGAATGCTCTGATCTCTGTAAAGACTGTGCGTGATTTCACCCAAATTTTCGATGCCTATGCCGCTTTTGAAGAGCGGAATACAGCAGCACGAATGGACAATTTGGCTGAGCCACCGAACGAGGAGGATGAACTCGAACTCGAATGGCTTTTTGCGAGGTGTGACAGAGCGAGGTTTCTCAGCTTACACGGTCTTATCACATTCTATTTAGATTTGAACATCTTATGGCTCGTCGACCGTTGTTGCTGAACAGTGTGTTGCTTCGACAAAATCCTCATAATGT